GCACTGCAAACACATCTGTCCACACATGTGCAAAGTGACTACGGATCAATCACAAATGCAGCCAGGTTTTGATTGCTGGCCCCAAAAAGCAACTCTTGCCTCAAGGATTTCTTTGTATCCTCAGCTGTGCAAACTCAGCATTCCCAACCTTAACTTCTGCGAGATTCAGACATGTGCACAATGCACATCAATCTGCAAACGAGAAGCCAAAACATCTCCAATTTTACAAATAAACAGCTGAGGGAATGTGGTCGCTAATCCTAGCTCTAAAAGTGTGATGAGTCAGCTTCGCCTTACACCTCATGACATTTACACGCTACAAAAATGACTGATTCACCCATCCAGTCGGTGCAGTGAACATCCCTCTTTCTCACACACCGACTTGATGTCACTATCCACTTTTAGAGGTGCATTGCTTGAAACGCCGCCACTTCTCAGCCACTCCCGGCTTGTGTTGTGTATGCGTTTCCATGGCTCTGCTGTAATGGTTCACAGGGGGAGTCGGTTCTTGGATGGGGGCTGACTGTAAACGTGTTGTGGTTTTGGAGGTCCAGGCAACATTTTTTACATTTCATTCGCTGGAGGCAACTGTCGACTGAGTGAGGGCTCAGATTAGCGACATGAGGCCTGCCATTTTTCCAGAATCACGCAACAGCTGAGTTACTTAAGGTTTTCATGACGGATGAGGGAAGAGAGTTGGCTCAATAGATATCCCAAGGAAGCTGCCTCACCATTTCCACATCACAGTGGCTCTCCTCTCAAGAAGTGGGAGATTCCCTCTTTCTCTTTGTCTGTTGGAATTGAGCATCACAGGCATTATGAATCCAAAGGTTAAGTCACTTGTTCCATGGCAGAGTTACCTTACACACCCTGGACTGGTACAAGAAGCTTTGTTGATGCTACTTGCCGAGTGTCTTCTGGACCAAAGTCAGCAAAAAGAGGGAAGAAGAAAAGGTTAGACACCATAAGAAAACAGAAAATCAAGAAGAGATCAAGAGATGCCTGGGGAAATCTTGCCCACTCTTTGACCTTGACTTTCCAGTCCATCTTAGGATCAGGAACAGTAATAATGGGAGTTTCCAAGGGAAATTCAGAAATCACTTTACTTTTTCCACAGTCACTGTCAAACCAGAATTGCATAACCTTGGCTTGGAGAGACGGCACTCCAAACCAGGTTGTCTTTAGCATGCATCATCATTTCAGGCAAGATACTATTTGTTTTTGCACGATACAACTACAACATCTATACTTTCTGGAGGAAACTGAGGAAACTTGATGTACTATACTTTTCCCTCTCCTCTGTACCCTTTAACAAGGACCTACTGTATGTTTCTCAAGCTCCTGCAATGAATGCAGTCCAGTGGTTTCCAATCCAATTAACGCTTCAAATTACATAATAAATACATTAGAGAACCTCAGGTTTGACACCTCTGCTCAAGACAAAAGCTAAGTAGACTATTTACTTTTTACAGTATCACTCTGCAGGAGGGTTAATAAACTACACAATGTACCCAAGTAAAGAACCAAAATGTCTGGTCTACTTAGCAAATTATGACCAAAAGCTGCACGTCGATTTTTCTTGCTACTAAGGGCCTCAAACAAACAAACAAACAAACAAACTAATTCATACACTGTAAGTTTATGGTTTATTTCCAGCAGCTTGGGTGCCGGAAAAAAAAAGTGTAAAATAACAGTCATTAAATAACAGAAATTTACTGTAAAATAAAGAACAATAACTTACAGAAATGTCCTTAAATTTAAATTTCTGGTAAATTTCTGTAATTCAACCTCTGTTATTTTACAGTAAATTTCTGTAATTTAGTGGTCATTATTTTAGGGGTTTATAAATGAACCATAAAATTACGGATTTATTTTACAGTATAGTATGTATTTATTTAAGCAACATGAAAATTGTCTAACAGGAAAAAAAAAAGAAAGAGTACACAGACCTAGAGACTTTCTAGAGAATTTCAGCCATTGAGTCACACCCGTTGGTGACCGTCTTAGGCAAGGCAAGGCAAGGCAAGTTTATTTATATAGCACATTTCATACACAGTGGCAATTCAAAGTGCTTTACATAAACAGGAATAAAAAAGACAAGTTTAGGAAAATAAAATGCAGACAATAAAAATTATTAAAAACAGATAAAAACAAATTAAAATGAGATAAAATAGGTTATAAAAGAATGAAAAAGAAAACGAAAAACATAACACCTGCAATTAATTAGTCTTACACCTGCAATTTCTCCGCGATGGACGTCCAGTGTTCTCCAGCCTCCTGTGCCTAGACTGCAGCTCTGCAGAGGATGTTTGACCAGTGGAGAAATGGTCATTCCCAACTGAGCCTAGTTTCTCTCAAGTATTTTTTAAAATTATTATTATTTTTTTTATCTATGGTGTGTAGGCTATATTTTAAATTCTGTTGATTGCTAATTATAAATAAAAAGCCTTTTTTAAAAATGTATGTGTTGTTTGTATGTTATTGTTTACATTTTACAAGTGTTATTTTTACCCCTATGAAGATTACAAATACCAACAATCCTGTTATAAGAGAATATATTATTTGTGCTCATATTAGTTTAACTCAGTCTAGAGTGTATAAAAGATTGTTTATTTCTGCAGTCCAACATGTGCTTTTATTAAAGTGTAACAGCTTACATCACACCGTTTTTAAACCATATATTATTGTGTGTTTTTAAATGTTAGTGCTTATATTTAGATCAGCGAGCCGCTGTTATAGTGCAGATACCGGCGGTCAAGTAAGAAGTTCGGGGGGCGTGGTTGATTTTACATCAAGCGTTTGGTTGGAAGCTCGATTCCGCGGCTCCTCCTCTGGTTCCATCAGAAAGTCCTTCTGCGCATGCCCAGGCTCCAATTTCAGCTGTCTTTTGCGACAGTTTGTGCGTGTCAAGCAGGCGTTTTACCCTCAAGGCACTCAATGGGAAAGGGGCTGTCGCGTCATCTATGTTTTTTACAGTCATTGGACAGACTCAAACAAAATGGAGATGTGGGAGATGTGAAAAAGGGAGATGTGGCTATGTATAATCTCTCTCTGATTGGTTTTCTAGACTACTACATGTCATTTCCTGATTCAGCCCCTTTTATATTACACACTCAATTGGTAGACTGTTAATACATATGCTGGAAAAATATGCACATGACTATTGAGCATGAATGGTCTCGCGTCATGAATTTTAGGCTATGTAATGGCTCATTTCCACTGAGTGGTACGGTACGGTTCGGTTTGGTACACTTTTATGGCCGTTTCCACTGTCAAAAGGTTCCTAAGAGCATGCCTAAAGGGTGCCATAAGGCAGAGATGGGCACCTGAACACTAATGGTTTACAGTGCAGTGAAATGTCACTCGTAGAAGCAGGAGAATAAAAAAAAAAACAACCGTCATGTTTTAAATACACAGCAGAGACATTACATCGTAATACTATATGCATATAATAACGAGCCATGGATGACCCGAGCTCAAACAAACCTTGTTGTTGTCTTGATGTACAGCCACAAAGCCAAGAAGAGCAAAATCTGCTGCATCCTGTTTTTGTTTTACAAGGCTTTCTAAAAGCGCAAGCAGTTTTGTTATCTCCAGGGAGCTCGCGATCGTGTCTATATATGAAATGAGGAACATTTTCAGCTGATGATAATAACGTGCGTGTGATTAATAAAGTGCTTCTGGCATCCAAGCCTATCTAAAAAGAAAAGGACAAACGCGAAAGTGAAGCGCGGAAAAACAAAGGTGAAGTTTAACAAAACACAGGAGCAAATTGTTTCAGCAACCTGAATTATGAACAAACTGCCATGTTTATCACCACCTTTTGAACTATTATGAACTCAGAATGACATAATTACACTCTTACAGAGGTTGCATGTGCTGGTGAAGATTACACATGTGAGAGGTTTGCACTGACTGTGGGCCGAATTCTGTGTTGTTTTTGAAGCCAAATAAGGACTATATGTATGTTGTGTGTAGTTTTTATGTAACATATCAGAGACTGTAAGGGGCTGTATGTGCTCATATATGTTGCATTTATTTATTTATTTAATATAATTGCAGTCGTTACAGTACGCTATTTTGCATCATTGATCTGCAGTTATAATCAAATCATGTTCATAGAAAGGTTAGTAATGAACATTTATACACAAGTATTTATATGTGAAAAGCATTTGTTTTGTGTGAAGTGTTTCTCGTATGACATGTGAACGACCTGTACAGTTTTACTTTGAAATTTCCTCAAGACAGAATGACTTCAACTAAAACTTTGTCATACACAGTGCCCACCAAAAGGGTACCCTTTGTACCTTTTAGGCAGTGTAAACGCAAGCCTTATAAAGATGTCCCGTACTGACCCGTAACGTACCGTACTGTACCAGTCAGTGGAAACGGGCCATAATGTGCATGTGGTTCGTTTGTCTGAAATATCTGCATGAGGAGCATTTTTATACTAAAACGCCAATATAAAACAAAAACACTAATGTAAACAGCACCTTAGTCCTCAGTAAATAGATTATGATCAGTTTGCAGACAAAAGATTTTTGAGTTGGCTAATATTATTAACCAGTCTGTGTTTATTCCGCCCACGGTAAAGACTGCTTCACAAGAGGATTTGGAAGTTATCGCACTGGATAAAAGCATCAGTTAAATAACTTTGGTAAATAGCCACACTATTCAGTGCAAGCCAGTGTATATAAGGCAACTTGTCATTGAGTAAGCCTTTGGCAGACACCTAGCAGCAGTTAAGCGTCTGGCCAGAGACGCAAATATCATCTTAAGTACCTGAACATAGTGCAGGGGTTAATCAGACAGAAAATCTAAATAGGCTTTTCAAAGAAAATGAAAAGAAGCGTTTAAACAAACTGCTTAATGAAAGCTCATTAAACCCTAGAATCTTCACTGCTAACGACGAGTTCTAATCCATGTATTCTGTACACAGTTGCACCTTAATTGCACAAAAGTTACTCATTTACAACAAAAAAAAAGCTTTAAAGGCAGAAAACTGTGGACTATTCTTTATTCGAAAAATAGAAGTGCTGTGACCACCATTGTGGAAAGTAATAATATTAAAAATATACAGAAATCTGTCGTGATAATGGATGCTCACATTTAGTTTAAACACATTTAATACACTTGTGTGTGTGGCAAGTGTTTTACAAAAGTAGAAAAAATTAACTACTGAAGAGTCACTAAACACAAAACACAGTCCTAAAAGAAACATTGAAAATCAATTTAGCATCTTTAGTCAAAAAAGCACAAAAATAGAACAAAATAAACGCACAATTTCCAGATGCAAACATAATTATGTAACTACTCTTCTTTGTGTTCATTAAAATACTAGAGCTATTGCGAAATGTTCTCTCTTCAGTCAGTCCGTGTTTCGGGACACAATAAAATATGTCCCACATTGCAAATAAAATTGAAGAGTAACACTTAAAGTGAAGGCACTGACAAATGAAAAACCACAAGAAAGAAATACAGGCTTTCCATTAAAAAAAGAGAGAGGAACCAACATGATGCCCAGACATATGCTTGTGTGATCTGCTGTGGTCAGATGATATGAATGTGTGTCACTAACATATGTTTATGAATATGGCCTTGACAACGCAGTAGTAAAACATCACATTGGTAAAAACAGTAAACAAAATTACAGATACATTGTTTTTCTAAATTAGATCAAAGTCTGACGATCCATCATTGTGATGGTTGTGTACATATTCATAAGTGAAAAGATTCTTAGTTCCTTTTCATTGCTCAAAAACTATACTCTGCAAAGTCCAACATGGCAGAAGATCGCTTCTTTCATTTAAGAAAAAAAGGCAAGTGTCTGCGGGGAGAGAAAAAAATAAAATTACTGGCGCAATGAATATTATTATAATGTCAAAGTTGCAAAATAGAACAATTTCAAATACCTTGGGTTTGCAACCTTGTTTAATTGGAAGAGCTCTCTCGTCTAGCGTCAAGCGCCCTAAAAACGAACACAAAGTAATAAAATGTATTTGTTACACAGAAAGTTTTTCTAGCTTGAGGTAAAAGAGTTTGTTTAATGTGACACTGAATCAATCAGGACGTCAAATATTATTGTCTTGAATGATGACTTCAAGCTCCAAACTGCAGATTTTCTGCCAAGTTTGCATCTAAGAACCAAAGAATTTTCTTGGTTTGTTTTTAGACGTGTATTATATGATCTGTTTTACATGTATATACGTACACTTGCATTTCATCTCGATTATCGAGCTCTATTCCAAACTAAAGTCTTGCTGTCTAATGCCTAAATGGGCATCATACCTACATGAAAAAGTAAGTAAATGCTATAGTGTTTTTGAACCATACTATAGAAAAGTATGAGGTAATTCTATAGTTGCTGTGGTAATACTACAAGTATAATAATATAAACAAGTTACACAATACTGTACTAAATTCTTTACAATTACATATAAACTATATTACAATACACTACAGTTTACTTAAGTAAAAATCAAAGCATACTTCAGTATTTTTCATAGTATATTGGTTCACTACAGGTATTGTTGTAAGAGTTGCAAATACTGTAATATATTCTGTATACACTTTGCTGTAGTATGGATCTAAAACACTACAGTATATACTATAAATTACTATAGTATTTTTTTATGTGAGTATTAAGTAAATGAATTAAATTTTCAGACAAATTCAATAGAAATTTTGATGGAGACATTAATAACATGTTCCTAAGCTAACAGCCTGTAACTAACTAATGAAGTATGTATATATGTATGTATGTATATACCCAGCAGGCACACAACGTCATAAGACATTAATATTAGGTTAGATTTAGATCGTGACGTCAAGTGACCAAAATTAAATGTCTAGCCAGCTTCTAAGGATGTTATATTAATGTCCATTAACGACGTGAAATGACATTGATATTTGGTTGATTTTAGGTTGTTTTGGAAAGTGACCAAATCCAACGTTAAGCTAACATCTTAAACCAACATTACAAACCAACATTAAATTCAATTACTGACATTTATTCGTGAGGTAAGGCAACCAAAATCCAACATCTGATAAACGTCATAGTGTTAACATCCACACAAAGTCAAGCTGTAACATCATTAGATGTTGATATTTGGTTGATTTTAGGTTGTGTAGGAAAATAACCAAAATCCAACGTTGAACCAATATCTTAAACCAACGGCATATTGATATCAAATACTGACATTTATTCGTCAGATATGGCAACCAAAATCCAACATCTTATAAACGTCATAGTGGTAATGTCTAGATAGATAGATAGATAGATAGATAGATAGATAGATAGATAGATAGATAGATAGATAGATAGATAGATAGATAGATAGATAGATAGATAGATAGATAGATAGATAGATAGATAGATAGATAGATAGATAGATAGATAGATAGATAGATAGATAGATAGATATTTTGAAAAAGGTTAGTACAATACATGCTAATAGGGTATGTTGCTAAGCAAAGAACATGCCAACATAACAACATGTGTGAAACAGCACTGTTTATGTAATTTAACCACTTTCAATGTTTTTTGGACACTACAGTAAATAAAGTTTATTGCTTGAATTGGGCCTCGCATTGGGAGGTTTTCCATAATGCCTCCTATATCGTCTACTCACTAGATTTTGGCCTGAGTGTGTGTGTGTGGCCTTTCTCCAAACTACAGTGAGCGATCTGCCCTGTGCCTGCAGCTGGTATGACAGTTAACCAGCGTTAATTTTTCAGTCTGGTACTCTCCACCTGTCTGGAACTCTATACGGCACCTGGCACAGGTAGAACACCCACGAGCCGGCCTGCTGTCTGGATTTGTCTTGCCATGGCATTGTAGCTCAGAACATTGAGCCCTTTTAAAGATGTATTAACTAACATTGCACAGAGTTCAATTCATGTCCAGAAATGGACTGTCTCGAAAAGACATATTTCAAATGCAAAAGAAATAATTCTCTGCTATTTACATTTACATTCTTCAAAGGCTTTTTTCAATTTGGTGTAAAATGATGTCTTTGGATGAGAGCATTTGCACTAGTTTGAGTCCTTAAACTGCCTTCATAAATTTTGACATATTTGAATATTTTAAAATATAACTTTTGTCATTTTTTTCTGTGATGTGACACAAATGAGTATTAAAAAGCAAAATGGAATACGGTGAGTGTTGGCAATCTTTTAGACATAAATATAGGACAAACAAGACACCAAAATACATGCTTACAATTGAAAAAAAATCTTAATCTGCTGTTTCAGGTGTTTTTGTAGGAGGTGGAACACAGATAAATGAATATTTTCTATTACTTTAAATACACAGAAAGATATAACGATTGGTAGATGAATAGACAGACAAACACTGGAAAGATAGATAGATAGATAGATAGATAGATAGATAGATAGATAGATAGATAGATAGATAGATAGATAGATAGATAGATAGATAGATAGATAGATAGATAGATAGATAGATAGATAGATAGATAAAACAAAGAAAACTATTCTATTATCAAGTCGCATGAAGAAAGAGAGAGCAGCAGTCCTTCATTCCATCACACTTGTGTTTGGCTTCACATCAAGCTCTTAATGAATAAAGCAGGCTGAACTAGTACTGCAGGAGCTTGTTTGGCATCTAGAAGCGAATTACCCATTTCTAAAATAAACAACTAAATAAAATAAGTGCACATAACATGAATCTCTCTTGTTGTTTTTGCTTGCGTGCCAATGGTTACCCCTCCAGCACTGGCACGTGTGTGTAAGGTTGGCGACCCCCGTTCTATAGATTTTATTGATTTACTTTTATGTGCTGCTGAGGTCATGCTTTACTGACGGACAAGGGAAGTTCGCTTTCCAGTAAGTGATGCATTTGGTGGTTTTGCAGTCTGTTATTTGGCTCGGGCCTCTTACTGGCTGCCACAGCGCATGTTAAAGAAATATTCGAGGTTCAAAATGAGTTAAGCTCTGTCCGCAGCATCTGTGATATGCAGTCGTTTTTTGAAGTAAAACAAACAGAATGGTGTTTACAGTAATGACTTACAATGGCAGTCTATAAAGAAAGACATTCTGAAAGAATTTTTGTCTGTTATTCAAAGTGTAAATTGTTTATCCTCGCATGAATGTATTTCACTATAGAATTCACAGAGAGCTATGAAAGCATGTTTTGATTATTTTTACAGACTGAAGAACAAGTCAAAATAGTTTTCTGTGAGACAATCAGAAGTATGTCAACAAATACTGTCCAAATTATTTATGTGGGAAGTTATATGGAAACCAGAACATTCTAATGTTGTGCGTTGGGTCTGTTATCATGCATTTACATAGATAGGCAGACGGACGGACAGACAGACAGACAGGCAGGCAGGCAGGCAGGCAGGCAGGCAGGCAGGCAGGCAGGCAGGCAGGCAGACAGACAGACAGACAGACAGACAGACAGACAGACAGACAGACAGACAGACAGACAGACAGACAGACAGACAGACAGACAGATAGATAGATAGATAGATAGATAGATAGATAGATAGATAGATAGATAGATAGATAGATAGATAGATAGATAGGATGGATAAATTAATGAATGGATGGATGGATGGAAGAAAGGATGGATGGATAGATGGATAAATGGACGGAAAGTCAGACATATAGATAGATAGATTTGTTTTTTGGTGGTTTAAACACTTACACTTGGTGCTGTCGGACAAAATCTGCAAACTGGCGGTCCTTGGCGTAAAGCTCTATAATACGAATACGGTCCTGGATTTCCTGTTGTGAAAGCAGGAAGGTGAAAGGGAAGGAGAGGAAGAAGATAGACAGTTACATAACAAAGAGCCAACCTCTTCACCCCGACCCTTCTTTTACCTCTAGACGTCTAGACCAACTCTAAATCCAGAGCAAAGGTGAGCTTCAATTACAGACACCTTTTTTTGATGCAGCAATTGGTTTTCATTCACACCAAAAAGTTTAAGCTTCTGCTGTTGCTTCCGTCACATCAAAACTCCAGAGGTTTCATGCTTAGAAAGTAAACTGCTTAGCGCATTTGGTTCTGAACGTTGCATAAGAATTATGATTTATCTACCTATCAAGTATTGTTTTCCAAAAAGGACATGCTTGACAAATATCCATTGTTCAGTGCTGCCAGAATATTCTCCATTGTGAATGTATATCAGTCACGCACGCTGTGACAGTTTCATTGCTGCAGGGAACGGTGCTTCAGTTGAAGGACATGGAGTGTTTTTAGGAATGTTTTTGAGGAATATATGTAAACATGTGGTGAGAGCGCTATTAAAACATTAAGTAATGTAGCAGACCACTCTCATAAACACACAGATGTACTGCTGTACGCACACTGTGTACCATAGCACCTGCTTATTTTCTTAAAAATTCAACATTAGTTAAATTTAATTGCATGTGATTTGTGTTTATTTGGCAAATTGGGGACTTGCTTGTATTAGTATAAAAACTAAGTTTAGACAAGAACCTTTGTAATTTTTCATTTTTATTCCACAAAAATTTTAATTGTGTACAACTTGAGTTGTATGAATTCATATGAAATGCTATCGAAACGCTTGTGAAGTCAACCCAGCCTCATTCTGAAAATGAACCGCGATATACATTTCTGGAGAGCACCAAATACATCCCAGGATGTAAATGTTTTGCTGTTTTTGTTTTCGTGAATCCACCAGAGGCCGCTGTATATGCTTTTTGAAATCTTAAATATCTCCCGCGAGTGCAATTCAGGCCTGCTGTTCTCGCATAACTTTACCAGAGGCCGCAGTAAACTGACTGACTGACTGACTTATGGACTGACCCACCCTCCTCCTACTCTAAACCCAATCAATAGTGTTTTAAAAAGCACCAATTGACCTGGGGCCTCATGTACAAAGACTTCCGTTGAAATTCATACTAAAACATTGCGTACGCACAAAGCTGTAAATGTGCGTACGCAGTAAAAAAATTCAGATGTATGAAACACTACGCATAATCCCACGCATATTCTCTTTGTACATCCGAAATGAACGTGAAACTGAGCGCACATGCACGAGCTCAAAACCCCTCCCTGCGTCCTCCCCCATATGAAAATGCTAATGACTCTACTTGGGCAAAACCCAACAAAAAAGCGATGGCAAAAGCAAGAAAATATAGAAACTTTGAACAGAATGTGAATTGGAGGTGCTCCTATCGGAGGTAGACTGGAGAAAAACTGTGTTATTTGCAAGTTTGTCGTTGAAATGAGGTAGTTGAGTGATTTCCGCCCGTTTGATAGGCAGAGACAACAAAGCTAAAGAGGGAGGACAGCAGCAGTGTGAGTGGCGTAGCTCGTAACACACATGGCAACATGTTCTGACACTGTCATTCAAGAACGCGGTTTGAATCCAGCGTCTGATGAACTCATTCTTCTTTTTCCACCACTACATATCAGATTTTGTCTACTCTTCCATCACGAGGAACGCAAGTAGGAATCATTAATAAGTGTGTGTATTATGTTAAGCGCATTTGAGCATCACATATTATATGCATATTTATTGAATGGAAATGTTTCTGATTCACATACGCAAATTCATCTTCAAATGGCGCCTTCATAGCAATGTGCGTACAGTTGATAGCTCCGATTACATTGGGAAAACCGACAATTGCTGCAAGTTGCGCTTTAATGTTTGGCTGGTCAACTGTATGGTATGGAAACCTTATATACCTGCTAGACATGCGGATGATCTCGTCCCATACAGCTGTCAGCTGCCATTGCACGGCTCAAAAATACTTTGTAGTGTGCAATTAACACAATTGCTTCTAGGAGTCGCCAATGGAAATAAAACAAACACACATAAGAAATGCACCTACGCCAGGCATGAAGTTGGCGTGGAACAACGCACATTCTCACATTCATTTCATCAGTAGTAAATCCAAACATGAGCGATTCTGAGTGTAAAACCTGCCGTCAAAAGTTTTTGTGCGTACGCAGCGTTGATACATAAGGCCCCTGGACTCAAACCCTGTCGTCGTGGTCAACTTTGCCAACGTAGATGGCGGGCTACTGGTCAAACTGGTAACAGCAGGAGAGCTGTCCATGAGGAGGTAAGCGGTCAGCTGGTAAACGCAAAAAAGAAACAGCGTCCCCGTAGCATTTGTTTTAAAGACGAAAATCCAGCATACGTACTTCTAGCTACATAATTCACAATCTCCAGAAATGTACAGTATATAGGGCTACATTTCCAGAATGAACCTGTGTTGTGTGAAGTAGTTACATTTCTGGAAAAAATATTAACTGTTAAAAAAATTCCAACATATTTTTTTCTACTAATCTCATTTTACAAATTCATATTAAATAACTATTGTGTGAAATATAGACAACATTTGAAGTGGGTCAAAACTTTTCATAAAAGTTTATTTTTATATTATTTTATAACATTATAATAGAACACATAGCATGCCATTTCTGTGTGGAGTTTGCATGTTCTCCCTGCATTCACGTGTGTTTCCTCCGGGTGCTCCGGTTTCCCCACAGTCCAAAAGACATGGGGAACAGATGAATTGGGTAGGCCAAATTGTTATGAGTGTGAATGAGTGTGTATGGATATTTCCCAGAGAAGGGTTGCGGCTGGAAGGGTATCCGCTGTGTAAAAACGTGCTGGATAAGTTGGCGGTTCGTTCGCTGTGGCAACCCCAGAATAATAAAGGCACTAAGCCAAACAGAAAATGAATGAATGAATGAATTCATTTTTATTGGTGTTTATGATGTTAGAAATGTCATAATAAATATTTTGATCCACTGCCAATTTTGACTATTGTAGTAACAATTAATAAAAGCTTAGTGCTTTTATTGGCTTTGTTGGCTGTATTACTGCAATTTTGAAAGATTATTTAAGCTGAAAAGTTGTCGGCAATTGTATCTATTTTTACTCTAACATTCATTTGTGGTCTAATTAATAGGTATTTGGAGGTAGCTGATTGCACCTTTCATAGATTTACAGTAGCTGTGAAACCTCACGCTTAGCCTTGTTTTTATTCTTTTTTTATTGTACAAATTCATATGAAAATAGACATAGAATAGTTACATTAATTATGAAATAGTAATTATAATAAAAATTATTTTTTGAGTAAAAATTCTATTTCACAAAACATTCAATGCAACTTTCAAAAGCTGTGCTATTAACATGCGAGAGATAATTTGACAACTAAACAATAAGAACAAATGTGTCCTCACCTCTTTAGTAAGTTCACTGTTCTGATAGATGTGACGAATCTCTTCGCTGCTGAAGTCAGTGGAGATCTCGGTGCTGCCCGTGCTGAATGCCGGAGCTTCTGGGTAACGCCGATAATACTGATTATGGCCTGCAGTCACTTCACTTTCAAACATCGGGTTGTACTTGGTGGCTCTTTCTAGAGATGGCAAGTTCTCTGCATATCTGTATAAAAAAATATACAAGTCAGATTAGACACCAGCTTCAAGAACTTATTGTAATTGATTTTTCTTGCTGAAAGGAAGAAAAGGCACACAGCCTAGTCTCATTGGAAATACGTGTCTGTTGCAAATGTCTTAGATGACAAATCCACTAGAGGGTGCTGTTTACATTTTTGCGAATCTGAAATGAGTTACTTAGGGCAGTGGTCCTCAACAACTTTTACCGAGCTGCACAAGAAATCATTAATTATTTCCGTTTTATTCATTATCTGAGTCTGAACGGTCTTTTATTTTGAAAATTCATTTATTCTGAAAAATGACTATTCTCACTCTTACATCTAGGTCACTTGAGCACCCAATTTTAACCGACAAGCTGCAAAACGAGTGAGAAACAGATGTCTTTGGAAAGTATCTTTGCTAATGGGGAAAGGCCCAGTGAAGGACTACAAACTGCCAAAGAATAGATTTGTCTATAAATTAGGAGGCTCCACTAAGTTTGTCCAAGAAGATCAACTGCCGGAGATCCTTTAGGGGCTGTTTGCATATTGCATCTTTTTAAACTTGAGTTTGCGCAGGTTTATTATTTCCGATTGAGGTGCGCAGATTTTTGCAGTTAAATGATTGCCGCGAACGCACCTCAAATTATGTGACAAGAACTGATCAATCAGCTTCAGCTTGTATGGAACATATTTCGGTCGACTAACTATCTCAGACAAACATAGAAAACTCAAAAACTGCAGTGCTTTGTAATTTTGTACAAAACTTGTATCAGAGCTGCAGCAATGTTTTGTCAACTTGTCATTCTTTGAGAAAATGATTGATGGTTGAACAACGCCCCACCAGTCTGCAGTAAAATTGTCAACCGTTGACCAGTCCACAGTTGTAAAAAGGTTGGGGACCACTGACTTAGGGTCTGCTTTGTTGTTTCAGATACAAGTTCTTTTAATTCAGGTCCATGAGAGGGCCAAGTTTTTCAGTACCTAGCGAACCAATGAAAAAAAACCTTACCTAAACCCAACCATTAGTGTTTTTAAAAGCCAGTGTAAGAGAAAAATGCACTGTAATCACATTTACCTTGATTTTACACAGTTTTCTTCTTTTTTGTAGAACTGTACTTAACCAGATTCAAACACAAGCAAGGTTTTAATCGACAAGAACATATTATTGATGAATAAAATATTATTTTTGTGCAGTTCTTTGCACAACACTAAATAAATACATAAAACCAGCTTTAAGGTATCTATGGTTAGTTTATTAACTAAATACCTATGGATATATACAAATAGGCAGGTGTGGTAAATAAATTCAGTTTGTATATCATAGACATTTTTAAGTTGTTTTCTAGTATTTATTTAGTCTTGGGCAAATAACTTCGCAAAAATAATCCTTTATTCATCGCTAATTTTCTTTTAAATTTTTTTTTTTTTTTTATTAAATCTCATTAGTGTGAAAAGGAACTCAAAGAGGTTTATAACAACTAAGAGTAAATATGACAAAATTTAAATGTTATCCCTTTAAACCTGCAGTTAAGTAAGCAAATCTCCAGGTGTATAAGAAAATAAGTGAATGCTGGTAAAGGAGATGCTTTCTATTTATATCTGTCAGGGTTAGATTGTGAAGCTGTGGAAAAAGTGAGTGGATTATCTGAAGCGAGTGAGAGCGGCTCAGTGCTCTTCTGTCCCAGTGTTCTGTTGATCAGGATCACTCATTGATCCTCTGCAGAGACGTTACGTCAAGCCTCACGCCTGACAGCATCTCCCTGTGCGCCCCCGCGAATCTGTGTGTGTGTGTTTACAGGTGAATAGATATAGAGATATAACATAAAGTAATAATATATATAATAATATAAAGATAGTTTAATTACTTTAAATAAGCAAATAAACAAAGCAAAGTATTATTGTTTTTATTGCTATCATTTTGAATTATGATGATGATCAATCAAATAATCAGTAATAAATAATATTGACATTATTATTATTATTATTTTATTATTATTATTATTATTGATTATTGATTATTATACAATAAAGAATATAAATTAAATTAATAAACGAAGGAACGAATGAACAAATCTGCTAAAAAAATAATTATTTCGGGTTATAAACTATAAATAATCATAATAATAATAATTATTATTATTATTATTATTATTATTATTATTATTATTATTATTATTAAGTCATTTTCAAATATGATGAGCCAGTAAACAATCAAGAAATTAAATTTGAAATTAAATTTTATATTATTTTAGAATGTGCGAATCAATAAAACACTATCAATCATTTTGGGTTATGAATAATAAATTATTGTTGATATTGATTTGTTGTTTTTAAATTAATTAATTAAAATAAATAAAAGGTGATAATAGTTCTAATAACAATAAAATAATAAAAAGAAGAAATAATAACTCTTTAGGTTAATTTTTTAGCTCTCATTGTGTTCGAAATCTAAATGGTAGAAGCAAAAGATACTTCAATTGGTCTAAATAAGTAAATAAACAAAGTATTATTCTTATTATTGCTATCATGTTGAGTTATGATGAACTAACTGATCAACCATCACTCAAATAATTATTAATCAATAATAACATTATTATTATTATTATTATTATTATTATTATTATTATTATTATACTAGAGTCAAGAATATTAATTAGATTACAAAATTAAAGAATAAATAAATTAACAAACCAGGTAACAAATAAATGATTTTGGGTACAATTAATTATTCATTATTATTATTATTATTATTATTATTATTATTATTATTGTTGTTGTTGTTGTTGTTGTTGTTGTTGTTGTTGTTGTTTCAATTATGATAATCCAGTAAATAGTCAAGTAAATATTTTTTAATTTTATTTTACAGAATGTGCGAATTAATAAAACTATCAATTTAACTATTATTTTGGGCTATGAACAATAAATTATTGTTCAAAATAAATTAAATTAATAAAATAAGGTATGAGCAAATGAATAAATCAGCTAACAAAACATGGTTTTGGGTTATAAACAATAAATAATATTAATTCATTTTAAAAAGTTATTTTCAGTTATGATGACCCAGTAAACAACCAGACAGTTTATTTTATTTTATTTCAGAATGAATACTCAATAAATGAAAAATAATTTTCATTGTAATTTTGGGTTATGAACAATAAATTATTGTTGATGTTGTTTTTAAATTATTTAAAAAACATACATGGTGAGAATAATAATAATATCAATAATAATAATAATAATTTGTTCTTTTTCCTTTCGGATTTGTCCCTTTATTAATCTGGGGTCGCCACAGCAGAATGAACCGCCAACTTATCCAGTATATGTTTTACGCAGTTGATGTCCTTCCACCTGCAACTCATCTCTGGGAAACATTCATAAACACTCATTCACACTCATACACTATACGGACAATTTAGCTTACCCAATTCACCTGTACCGCATGTCTTTGTGGGAGAAACCGGAAGACCCAGAAGAAACCCTCGCAAATGCAGGGAGAACAGGCAAACTCCACACAAAAATGCGAAATGACCCAGTTGAGGCTTGAACCAGTTACCATCTTACTGTGAGGCAACAGCACTACCTTCTGCGCCACCACGTCACCGGGTTATAAACAATAAATCATTATTGTTATTATTATTCATTAATTCATTAATTCATTTTCTTTTCGGCTTAGTCCCTTTATTAATCCGCGGTCGTCACAGCGGAATGAACCGCCAACTTATCTAGCATGTTTTTTTGCAGCGTATGCCCTTCCAGCAGCAATTATTATTATTATTATTATTATTATTATTATTATTATTATTATTATTATTATTATTACTACGTTATTTTCAATTATGATGAACCAGTAAACAATTCACAATGTGTGAATCAATAAAACACTCATTTTGACTTTCATTTTGTTATGAACAATAAACTATTGTTGACATTGTTTTGTTGATTTTAAATAAATTTAAATATATAAATGGTCATAATAACAATTATAATAACAATAAAAATAATAATAAATAATAATAATAACTCTTTAGGTTATATTTTAGCTCTCCTTATGACCCAAATCAACTGGTCTAAAAGTAGTTTTTGGCTTGAGTAAAATGTACAAAAAATTGACAAACACAAAATTGTCCATAGAATAAATAATAATTTATTTGATATTGTATCTAATCTAGGCATGCTTAGCTGTTATCCAGAGTGGAATAAGTGTCCAGATCTTTCTCTGGGAAACTAATATTTTCTAGAGCCAACGGATATAAAAAGCTGATATCACTGTATTGATGCACAGATGCACAATGGGTGTTCAGGACGAAACGAACAACTTGTTCGCTAAAAGATAATTGATCCAACCTGCACATGACTTGCCTGAGAGCGTTTGTTTCATAACGACCAGCGAGAACAGATTGTGTGTTCTGGCTCGCTTGTACAACAAAGCCATAAAAACAAACACACACGTGTGTGCCATAAAATATAGCATATGTATTCTCCAAGGCTCTGTGTTGGGGTCAGTCACACTTCATTTGATGGTTTCTCACAGCAGGTCTGGTGACTGTAAGAAACTGGGCAACAACCTGTCAACAAGTGTTCATTAGATTATATTCATGGTCAAGAAAAAATTTGCTGATTATGAGTGTTTTTGGTGGTAGATGTCAATTAATATTATCAATTGACTATGGATACAATTTGTGTTGAGAAAACATAAAAGAATTTACTTATTTACTAATTTAAGTGGATTAAACATAAAACAATTAAGTTGTCCAATAAAAAACAACAATTATGTTTCACCTAAATTTACTGTAAATAAGTAGTTTGAACAAACAACAAATGTCATTTTTAGTGTAGTTGGCATGTAGTTGCAGTTATTTATAGCCATTGATTTTACCTGATATTAACATGCATTCAAATTAGTGATTCGGTGCTCTGATTATTTTTCAGTGATATGATTTTTTTTATAATGATTAAAATTATTAGATGATTACTTAATATTATTATTTAAGCATTATTTCAAACCAGACAAACAAACAAACAATAAATAAATATGAATTTGAGTTTACTTAATAATTTTGTGTTTAAATATATTTGTAACTCTTACATCTCATTTTCTGTTCTACACTACCTGACAAAAGTAATAACTTGAAAAATAATAACTTCACTTCTAGTTGACCATTTGGAAAGGTGGCAGACAGACGATTTTTCCTATAAATCATCTGTTGAATTGCATCCCAATCATCACAAATACTGCAGACGACCTATTGGAACCCGCATGGTCCCAAGATTCTCACAGAAATCAGTGAAGTTTGGTGAAGGAAAAATCATGGTTTGTGGTTACATTCAGTATGGGGGTGTGCGAGAGATCTGAAGAGGGGATGGCAACATGAACAACTCGGGGAATCAAGACACCTATACCCCGTATGGGGGTGTGCAAGAGATCTGAAGAGTGGATGGCAACATCAACAACTTGGGGTATCAAGACATTTGTGCTGCCCGTTAAATTACAAAGCACAGGAGAGGGCAATTTCTTAGGCAGTATAGCGCTCCTCATACTTAAACCTTCACATCAAAGTTTCTGAAAGCAAAGAAGGTCAAGGTGCTCCAGGATTAGCCAGCCCAGTCACCAGACATGAACATTATTGAGCATGAACATTATTGAACTTTTGTCTAAGCAAAGTCAGACCTACTGTCCCAATTAAATAATTAAAAGTCAAGACATGATCAGATTTTATTTTGGCAAAATAAGTGTAATCTAGAGGCCTTTGCCTTTCATTTAAGCCACTTAATACCAAATGATCACCTAAAAATTATTATTTGTTGATTCTAAAACTTTGTTAGGCGACAAGACCTATGTCATGTAGTGTTAGCGCTGTTGTTATAAACAATTAATAAATTAATAATTGTTCATTGACTTTTAAATAATTATTAGTGTAGTTTTTTTTTTTTTTTTTGCTCAGGGTATGTAAATCTAATGCACATTTTAATCTTTATAACAAAAAAATAAAAAATAGAGCAAAATAGATACTGTATGTGACGCCCTTTTGCTTCTTTTCAAGAAAACCTTGTTTTGTTACAAGCAGTTCACACATTGACAATAAAAAGTGATTAATGCTTGAAAATACGAACAATCAGTCCTTTTAATACAAGGTGTAAATGGAGACATCAAAATAAAGTGCTCTGAAACACAGTCATAAGATTATATAGTTACTTTTCAACAGGTGAGGAAAGCAATTGTCATCTTTTGACAGCTATTAAACATGTCGAGACCTGCAACACTTTCTTCTTCTTTTTTTTAATTTAAAGCCTCAGTACAAACTCACATGGCGTAATTTTATAGCACTTATTCACAACACTGACAGAACGATTGAAATTTATGCTCCTAAAAAGTGAATTAAAGCATTTGCACTAATCTGCCAGGAAGCTCTGCTTGTTCCTCCAGAACATACGACGTTAAGATTTATTTGAATGTGTGTTTGTTGTAAGCACAGTTTGTACCGTAAAGGGTCTTCTGAATCATCTGTGTCATACTGGTCTCTCAGAGTTCGGGCCAGGAAAAAGATGACACCCGACGCCACCAGGAGAAATCCAGCAACGGACGCAATGGCAATGCCGACCACCAGCGGCTCTGACACATATTCCTCACAGTGTTCTCCTCGATACCACCAGTTTTCACCAACGCGACACCTGGAATCACAGTGGAGTGAGTGAAGTCTGGCTTTCTGGCCCTACTGTAGCTTTAAAGTGTCACAAAACCCATTTTTAACTGTTTTTCACACATTGATTTTAAAAATAGACTTGTTTTTAGCTGTGAAAAAGTTGGAAGCAGTCATGTTACACTCTGTGCTAAGGCTTTAGAGCATGTGTCGAGAAATTCAAGGAGGAAACTCGCTAACTATGTTTCCATTCAAAGATGCTAAATAAACTTGTGCCCAAAACTGGATTCAAAAGAGTCAAAGAAAACAAAATAATCGTCACTTCCACAGAATTTACTGTGGTAGAAGAGGCCACTGTGGGCTTTTCTCCTTATTTAATACATTACTTGCACCTCAGATGAATTGAGACCTAACACAATGAACTCCCATTCAAAATAGTTCTGAAGGTAATATTACTGAACCACTTTGATGACAGACTTTGGCTGAGGGATTTTAGCATGACCAAAGTTTAGTTATTTTACAATGTTGTTGGTCCATTGGTTTTTACAATAACGTCAAAAAATTTTCATGCACATTTTCATAATTTCTGCGCATCTTGTTTTTACATTAAGCACTTTTTTATGCGGTATTCCAAAATAAAAAACATATGCGCATGACTGAGTAGAATAAACTTTTTTCCAATAAGAAAATGTGCAAAAACTGCAATGGAAACACTTTTACCAAACAAAATCCAGTATGCGCATTAAAAAAAGGTTATGTGATTTTGTTTTGAGAGATCATGTGATAATAAAAATGTATGTGAATGGACAAACCAGCAGGCTGAGCACGTTGTACAACATTTAAAAAGTTGTTTTGGTCTCTCTAACACATTATAACCATTTCAGTATTAGTGTTATTAATGACCTCCAAAATCAATGTCTGTGTTCCACGTCTCATGCCTTCAAACTCCACCGCATGTTCACTGCGTGTCAGGATTGCCTTCTGAGGCACAAGTCATTTATTAAATGAAGAAAAGATTCACGCAGCTTCTCTTATCGCAGCAAATTCCTTCTTTACGGATGATATTAGGCACCAGATAATCAGGAAGTGACGATTTTGTTCACTTTGATTCGTTGGATGGAAACGCTGCTTTATTTGCACATCTTTTATGCAATAATCTAGTTTTGCGCATAAAGTTAATTCTCATTTTTGGATGAAAGCATAGCTATTTATGATTTCTGAAGCCTCATTTTTCCATATAATTTGCTGAAATTGGCTGTTCGAATCACAATTAAAAACCAGCTACTTTTTATTTTTAGAAAAGAATATTTATAGTGTATGGTATTAAATGGAATTTATAGTTTATATTGTACAATAATAAAGCTCATTTGCATTTAAAGCGACAGGTCCAAAAGCATGTTTTGCTTACTCCCAATTACGGGCAAATTTGACAACCTGTAATACATTATGAGGTATTTTGAGCAGAAACTTCAGACACATTCTGGGGACATAAAATGTATATTATCTTTTGAAAAGCACCACAATCTTCTTTAAACAATCCAAATATGATGATATTTCGTGACATAGTTTAAACTTAGCTTTTTCAAACAAGAAAAATGTATTAGCTCATAAAAATGCCAACAACAAAAAAAAAAATCTAAAGTAACTTAAGTCGTTTTCAGCAATGTGTCACCCATATTGTATACACTCTTTGGTCACTTTATTAGGTACACCTGTCTAACAAAAGTTTCTAATTAGCCAATCTCATGGCAGCAACTCAATGCACTTAGGCATGTAAATTTGGTCAAGACGATCTGCTGCAGTTCAACCTGAGCATCAGAATGGGGAAGAAAGGTGATTTAAGGGACTTTGAATGTAGCATGGTTGTTGGTGCCAGACAGGCTGGTCGGAGTATTTCAGAAACTGCTGATCTAGTGGGATTTAAACACACACAACCATCTCCAAGGTTTACAGAGAATTGTCAGAAAAAGAGAAAATATCCAGTGAGCTGCAGTTCTGTTGGCACAAATGCCTTGTTGTTGATGCCAGAGGTCAGAGGAGAATGGCCAGACTGGTTCGAGCTGATAGAAACGCGACAGTAACTCAAATAACCACTCGTTACAACCGAGGTATGCAGAAGAGCATCTCTGAACACACAACAAAAATCTTTTAAGGCAGATGGGCTACAGTAGCAGACAAATCTACAGCAACTGCGTGATGCAACTCATGCTGATTCGTGATGCATCAGCAACTGCGTGATGTCCATGTCAATATGGACAAAAGTCTACAAGGAATATTTTCAGTACCTTGTTCAATCTATGCCATGAAGGATTAAGGCAGTTCTGAAGGCAAAAGAGTGTCCAACCCTTTACTAGTAAGGTGTGCCCAATAAAGTGGCCAGTGAATGTTTGTCAACAGTTGTTTTTAAAGCACTCACCTGCAGATGGCGCCCTTGCCAGGTATTATGTCACATTTCCCGTCATTTAGGCAGAAGTCTTCTTGGATGTCGCAGATGCTCTGGCATGGCAGTCCGTCAACGCTGAAATAACCAGCGTTACAAACACACTCGGCCTCACCTGACCAGCGGTTCACCAAACACTTGGAGAACTCGTTACATGCCTGAAACTTACAAGGATCTGCCTGGTCACCTAATGGTAAAAAGAAAGACGAGTGTATTATGGATTTATCATCGTAAAATTGGTATGTCAGCAGGATTAGCAAAGATGAAATGAGATGAGACGTTTAAATTTGGCAAAAGTTATAATTGTTAACCAAAATTAAAACTGAAACTAAAACGGAAAATAAATAATGTTTTTTTAAGAAAATAAAAAAAAATACAAAAATACAAATTTCTTGTAAATAAATAAAGTTAATGTAAAGAAAATTAATATAAATAAAATGACAACGCAAAATTAGAAAATAAAATTACTAACCTAAATTACAAAACGTAGAAATTAAAATTAAAAAATGCAATAAAACCCAAAATATTAAAAATTACTATACAACAAATAAAATGAAAAACTCAAATTAAATGTAAAACAAATACTCATTAAAAGTATCAAAGTATATGAATAAAAAATGCAAAAAAAATTATGGAAAATAATTCTAATTATTTTTTTCTTTATTGTATTTTAAATCAAGTAAATTTTTTTCTTATAAACTTAAATCAGTAAATCATGAATTAGAAGGAAAAATACAGAGCTATTTATATTGTTTTTGTTAGCGTTCTCATTATTATTCTTCCGTTTAATCCACCGGATTTTTTTATGGCAGCCCATATAACTGTATGTGGGAAAGTTGTAGAATTTGGCACAATGATAGAGGACGGTCTCTACATTAACCAGAGCATAAGATTCCTTTCAGTCCGATTCAAAGGCACTTTATGATGTCATTTTCTGTCATGAAAATGTTTTCGATATTTTGACCATTTCGCAAAACCTATTTGAATGATCTTGTCCTAGGCTGTTTGTCTGATTTTCATCAAAATTGAATTACGTGATCTTCAGTAACGATTATGCTGACCAAAAGTGTTTTCAAATTATTAATTTATATAAAATATAATATAATTTAATATAATATATATAGTTTAGTATATTTTAATATAGTCACACCACATGATATTTTATATATAAATATTAATTTAATAATAATAATTAACAATTATTTATTTTAAAATTATGGTCATAGCAGAAGAGGTGTACTGAAGTCATTTATATATATATATATATATATATATATATATATATATATATATATATATATATATATGTATACACATTTATTTATCAGATCCAGATATATGATCCAGGATTATGAAATGCAATGACACTAAAACTACAATGTCATTTAAGAAGCGTAACCATTTCCGCATTAGATCTGTTAAAGCATTTCAAAATATGCATTCAAAACAAAGGAATCTTTCTGATTCAACAGCAACAGAATTTGGTCATTAGAGATGTCGTGTAGACAAAGGAGCTCAGACAGAATTTACATGCGTGCACACAGGGACACAAACAAACATGAGTCACTGGTCTGATGCGTTGAGCGCTGCACGTCTCACTAGAATAAATCACCTCTAATCTGTCTGCAGTACAGAATCAATCGCCTATCACTCATCCTAACTGGGCCTAAGGTTTTCCTAAGCCAAACTGGAAAGCTCTAACCCTGTGTCCTCTAGCGAAGAAAAAAAAACCTTAATATCACTCAGAAATGCTGGAAATCTACCATTTGGATATCCAGTGTGAGTTACTTTGTAAAGATCATAGGGTCAATTTGTGTTTTGGTTGTCAAGTACTCATGTCTGCCTATAAACAAACTAAAACAAAAATTGTTTGTAGATTATAAAGCCACCAAAACACTGTTGTGTGGACAGAATTTAATCCCATATATAGGTCATTGTTTTGCAAATCGGGCCAATCAGTAGAACTCTGAGGCAGGGCAAGAGATATGAGCTTCCCTGAGCTAATAGGATCCTCGAGGCCGGGGCTCACTCCCATTTGCCGGGCAAGAGGGGATTTTTGAGCTCAGGTAGGTTCGAGAACTCCCCTGCTTATTTATGGCTAATGACATATTGGGTATTGCTACAGAGGGATATACTGCTGATCGAGGGGCCGATCACACCAAACTTTATGCGATGAGGGGTGCCTTTTTTGAATGGTTGACTAACAGCCGCTAGTGTTTTGTGCACTGCTTATGTGCCCTGTGCACCTCGCGTTTATCGCCTGCTGAGCCTCGTGTTTTTGCCCTTGCGTGCCGTGTGCTCGTAGTTGAAAAATGTCAAATCTGTGCAGAACACTCTTTATTCTCTAATTAAATGAAAGCAGAGGCATGGTTCCTTTGAGGCGCCTGCAATGTTTTTATTATCAAGATGGCTACAAAGACTTTTGAAGATGGAGACTTGTGGTTTTGAGTTATCTGGAGCTGTATGACTTCAACATTGTAATCCTAGTGATCCTCTCAAAATTAGTTTATAAATAAACTTCACTAAACGTTCATAAACTTTGCGTCTCAAAGACTGAACATAGGATAAATGCAAAAAAAACAATTTTTGTGTGATTATCTTTAACCTGGTATACATTTTTGGATGAATAAATGACTTTAAATCAGCATAAAACATTTTCAAATATTTTTAGCCATAAGTAATAACAAAAATTACCTGATTCGACATCCAATGAATACTTGTCTATTGCAAGATTCATAGTTTGGTAGGCAGTGTTGCAGAAGTCCTCCAAGATTAGGTACACTGCTGTTGTCACACCATGGGGAACTGGCTTGGCAAACTTCATCCTGCTGTTCACCACAATGCTACCATTCCTGAAGTTCAAAATCTCTAAATTCTGGAAATTGCTGAGGTTGGACTGTAGATACGGTACGAGCTACAAAAGTCAAACATTGAGAAGAATAACTACAAAGTGAAAATACAAAGCAGGATCACACATACCTAGTTACGGTAATAGATGTCAAGAAGGTCCTAATTGCATCAATTATCTCATTAGTTACTGTTCATAAAGACAGCTATGCTAATTAAGTTAACGGATAGTATGCCTAGTAAAGCCCCTAACAAACCCTCTTAATGTTCAACAACAAACATCAACAAATCTAAACTGCTGTACTGCTTTGTGTATGTTTAGAATGTGGATTATGAAAACTTAAACCCAATAGACTATTTCACAAAGCGTCAAATTTGTTATCGTTGATGATTTCCTTGAAAAAGAAAAAAAAAAACCCAGAATGGTTACAAAGGCGATCAGTTCCAAACATTCAATAACATGCCTTTGGGCTCTATAAGGTCTTTACCACCTAAAAACATGTTTAAAACAGTTGTCATTAATGACTCAAGGCTTTCTTACTGACACGTTGCTTTGCATAAATTAGAGCAAGGTAATTAACTAATAACTTTTAATCCCTAGTTAATTGGCTATGTCCATGTCTAAATGCCAAAGAGCGGATCACCAATTGAGCCTGACAAATATATCTTACCAGTTCCAGAAATCGCTGCTCAAGTGCCTTGTATTCAGTAGAGCTCTTGTTGAAGAGATCTTCGGAAAACTTCATGTTGGTGACCCTAAGGCTAAAAAACACTATTAATGCCCTTCCAGGACTGGCAGGCAAGGCTAAACTTGCTAAGTCAGTTCCATGAGCAAACCCACTGCCATTATCTTCATCATCAGTTGGGTCGTCGAAAGGGAAGATGTCAAATGAAACCTTAAATTCTGTTATGCTGGGGTTAACTGGAGCAGGAACTTTCATAGTGGCACTTTCATAGTTCACTGTCTCTGTTGGTAGAATAAGCCCTTTGATGTCAGGTCTTGGCTTTACAGTGCTTTCCTTTATAAAGTTGTCTGCCATTTCTTCAGGTTCAACTATTCCTTGTGCAGAGTCATCTAAAGTGTCTCCAAGCTCAATTACATCTTGTACTGAATCAACAGAAACTTCTCCAGTCTCAACTACATCTTGTACAGAGTCATCTACGTTTTTTTCAGGCTCAAATAAATTGTGTACTGAGTCAATGGAAATTTCTCCAGTTTTAACAAAATCTTGAACAGAGTCATCTAAAGTTTCTCCAGACTCAGCTACATCTTGTACTGAGCTATCTGAAACTTCTCCTGTCTCGACTACATCTTGTATTGAGTCATCTGAAGTATCTTCATGCTTGACTACATTTAGTACTGAGTCATCTGAATTTTCTCTAAACTCAACCTCATCTTGTACTATGTCGACTGAAGTGCCTTCATGCTCAAGTAAACCTTGAATAGAGTCATCTGAAGTCTCTCCAGATACAACTACATCTTGTACTGAGTCAACTGAAATGTCTTTATTCTCAAATATATCTTGTACTAAGTCATCTGATTCTTTTCCAGTCTCAGCTACATCTTGTACAGAGTCATCTGAAGTTTCTGCAGACTCAAATATATCTTGTACAGAGTCATCTGAAGTGTCTCCAGACTCGACTACATCTTGAACTGCGTCATCTGAAGAGTCTTCATGCTCAACTACATTTTGTACTGAGTCATCTGAAGTTTCTCTAGACTCAACCTCATCTTGTACTGTGTCGAACGAAGTGCCTTCATGCTTAAATAAATCTTGAATAGAGTCATCTGCAGTTTCTCCAGACACAACTACATCTTGTACAGAGTCAACTGAAATGTCTTTATGCTCAAATACATCTTGTATTGGGGCATCTGAATCTTTTGCACTCTCAACTACATCTTGTACTGAGTCATTTGAAGTTTTTCCAGATACAACTACATCTTGTACTGGGCCAAATGAAATTACTTCATGCTCAAGTACATCTTGTACGGAATCATCTAAAACTTCTCCAGTCTCAACTAAATCTTGTACTGAGTCATCTGCAGTTTCTCCAGACACAACTACATCTTGAACTGGGCCAGATAAAATGTCCTCATGCTCAAGTACATCTTGTACAGAATCATCTAAAACTTCTCTAGTCTCAACTAAATCTTGTACTGAGTCTTCTGCAGTTTCTCCAGACACAACTACATCTTGAACTGGGCCAGATAAAATGTCCTCATGCTCAAGTACATCTTGTACAGAATCATCTAAAACTTCTCCAGTCTCAACTACATCTTGTACTGAGTCATTTGAAGTTTCTCCAGATACAACTACATCTTGTACAGAGCCATATGAAATGTCTTCATGCTCAAGTACATCTTGTACAGAGTCATCTAAAACTTCTCCAGTCTCAACTACATCTTGTACTGAGTCATCTGAAGTTTCTCCATGCTTAATTATGTGGACAGTAGGTGTAAATGTTGGTTCTGAAAATGATTGTACAGAGGTGGAACTAAGGGTCTTTAAATGTTTTGAAACATCTAAAAGGGTGGACATTGTGGTTGAGTCCTTATTATCCATGTTATCTGATAAAACAGGCTCCCCTGCAACAGCTGCTATGTATGTGTGCATCAATGTCTGTGTAGTTGTCTTTGGAAGAACAGAAGCAGTGGGTGATTGGGTGGGTAGAGGTTCTGTGGTTGACTCTTGCACAGGTTCATCCTCATCTATTGATGAATGTGATATCCAAGTGAAAGGTGAGTCCTTTTCAGGAGTCAGGGAGGCTGAATGACCTAAACTTGTTACCACAGTCGCTACTGTTGTTGAGGATAGAGTTGTTGTTGTTGTTGTTGTTGCAACCAATATTTCATCACCAACTAAATCTTCTTCTAAGAGTTCAGTCACTGGGCTTTTTGTAGGCACAAACTTGACGAGTTCCATGTCCTCATCTAAAACTTTGAATTCTTCATCTGATCCTTCAATATCTGGCCAGACCAAAGCAGGTAACTCTGTGATTCCTTCATTTACAGAATGCTGAACAGCTTCTGAAGAATTGGCAGGACCTTCCACTGAAACTGTATTATTGTTGATGATCACAGGTAATTGGGTAGTTGAAGAGATTTCAGTGGACTTCATTGTGGAGCCCAGTGTTGCAGATAATGTACCCATAGTTTCCAGATTCTGTTTGTTGTCTGTTGTAGTATGCTTATCCACAGCTACTGTTTCACTTGGTTGGATCACAGTGGGTGTAACAAGTCGTTCTGTATAGTCCTTATCAGCAGTTGAACTTATTGTTCCTGGACTTTGTGATGCATCCAGATCTTTTGTTTCTAATGGATTGTGAACATGTAACAATGGTTGATTGGTTACAAGTGTAGCCATAGTGATTGATGCATCTGGAAAATAGTCATCATAATGTTCAGGGGCTACTTGAGTCTGCATTGAAAGCTCAACAGTCAAAGTCTCCATTGTCCAAAATACAGGGGCCTGGTCAGTTGTTGTGTAATGAGGATTGGTACGAATGTCTTGGGTCACAAGAACCCTATCCAAGAATGGCTCCTCAGGAGTCACATCTTGATGTAAAGGCTCAAGCTGTTTTATTATAGATTCCTGATTTTCCTGAAGTTGGTGTATCTCATCATTGGTATCTTCCTTCAAGACTTCTTGTGATGTTTCTGATGACCATGGCCAGATGTCAGGGCCTATGTGATCTCCAGAGAATCCTGAGCCTGAGCCAAGGTCTGTTAAATCACCCAGGGTAGTTTCCTCAACCTCAGGAGGTTCTACAGGAGAAACTGGTGTCTCTTCTACCTTGTGAGGTGATTCTGTAGGTAAAGTAAATTCAGTTATTGTGTCTATAATAGGACTGACTGTAGTTGCAGTCTGTAAAAATCCCTCCTCTTCAATAACAGCTTCATCTGAAAAAAGAACACAATACTTTAAAAACATATTACTAGTTTACAGTGGAATAATTTACAGCACAATAATCATTGCATGTACCAGGAACAGGGGCACTGCTTGAAGTTTCAGATTTTGAAGTAACTTCAATGTCCAAGTTCTTCAAAGACACTTCAACAGGAGACTGAGTGGGACTTTCCTCAAAGATGATTACATCATTTGCATTTCTGTCTTCACTTTGTCCACCTGTCCATGGATCAGGATCAAAGATGTCATAATTTGTAATGAAGATGTCATTGTTGGATAATTCTTGCCCAGGAACATCTGGTGGTTTCTCGGAAGCAAGAACGTTGTCCTAGGATTTAATGTTTGAATGGTTATGATTAGTACCACTGAAGTGAAAAACAGTAAGGTAGATCTACATAAATGTTACTAACAAAAGCCTTGGGCCAAATCTTTCCTTATTAAGGCCAATGTCCACTGAATGTATGTAGACAACTAAAATTATGTTTCCCACCATCTGACCATTAAAAAAAGTGGGAAGATTGAAAAAGTGCACTTGGAAGTGTAACAAATTTTCCTTAAATTTCTCACTAAAGTACACTGGAAACATATTTTTTCCAAAGAAAATGTCAATAGGGAAAAAGCACACATGCACATGATCTTGACATAGTACTGAGAATCTGTTCCAAGATTGGTCGATGGATAATGATGATATTTGACCAGTTTTTAAGTTTTCCATACACCATAAATTAACATTTAACTTTAAAGCAGATTTGGAATATGTCATGTTGTATATTTAACAACTGGTTTACACCCATGAGTTATTCACACCATTTTATTTTCATGCAAGTAATGAGTGAGGTGCTACTGAAAGTAGATCACTGTCAGTTGTGCACATTGAGCTCATTTATGAAACATGAGCACGACTAAATTTTGTGTAAATCATTTGTAAAACCATTCTTACATAAACTGCCACATTCAATTCACTCCAATAATTTACATACCCAGGAATTAGTTCTGCTCATATTTCTTGAATTAGGTCCATTTAGTAAAGGACAAATGGCTTGACTGTCTGTAAAATAACCGAAATAACTAGTTTTGCACACCCCACTAGTTAAAACTTGGTGTATATGTGTAGATACATGTACATTTGATTACAACTATATTTCAAATCAACTGTGAGTGACTAACGTGTGTCATTAGAGGCATGCATTCATTTATCAAAGAGAGACAGAACACATGTTGCCAGATCCAGACATGAACACAGCACACCAGCCAAAACAAGACAGTAAATCTACTTAATAAGGGTATTGAAAAAAGTGCCCTTTGTCAAATATAAGAGAAAAACTAAAAGTAAATTCTGAGATTATTGCCATATTTGGGATCCAATGTGTCTTTCTAATTAAACTACAGACTGTGAGGAAAGCTGCTCAGCCTCTGCAATAAAATCTATGTCACACTGAGATTAAAAACAGATTCTTTTCAATATTTCATAGTGCCTGAGCTAAACAAGTTTCATAAAATAGCAAGCTTACTTGTGTCTAGAGAACACTTGAGCTGGAAAATTGACTTGAATAGTTTTACAGACCTGCTGTATTATCCCATAGCTGGGCTGTAATCTGTTTTAATGACATGCCATGAAAACCCATTTTATGTGCAAGGTAATCTTTCTTATCATGTAATAACAAAAACCTACATGTGATTGCAATTAGAGTGACTCATTTATCATTTAACAGCTTTGGAAGGATTTACATTCACATTCAAAGCAGTTTCACTGCACTGAAGTGAAAAAAAAAACAATAATAAGCCTAACATGCAGCTTTGGAAAGGGAACCTGGACTGGACAGTCATAGTTACCCACTTACTGGGTGGTCCTGCCAATGACCATTGACTCACCATCATGTCACTGGAGTCAAACGGTCTGCTGGTTGGTTTGGAAGGCAGCAATGTCTCCACTGTGAAGCCAAAACAGAACAAGATCATATCAAATTATACCAAAAACTTCTCATGCATAGTTCATATCCATACTCTCATCTCTTCAATGAAGACTACAAGATCAGTTTGCCAAAACCAGAGATAAGGAAAATAGAGGCTCTTTGCTTTGTTAAAACCACATACAGCCAAGCAATGTAAAAGTATATCCTACTATTGACAACAGGCAACAGGCATTTTGGGTTTATTCAGCTACAGTTTGAAATTGACCACTGTGACAGGACAAAAATTAAAACCTGACTGTGTATAAAGAAATCAGCACTCAAACTTGTATGTTTCTATAATAAACCTTTAAAAAAAGAAAAAAAAATTGTTTTGAGAATAGGGTCATTTTACAACTCCCTTGTGGAGATAAATTTGAGTTTTACCATTTTTATATACATTCAGAAAATCTCCAGGTTCAGCGGGAGCATTTTTTTTTCATTCATTCATTCATTCATTCATTCATTCATTCATTCATTCATTCATTTATTCATTCATTTTCTTTTCGGCTTAGTCCATTTATTAATCTTGAGTCACCACAGTGGAATGAACTGCCAACTTATCCAGCACATTTTTACACAGCAGATGCCTTTCCAGCCGCAACCCATCCCTGGGAAACGTCCATACACGCTCATACACTACAGGCAATTTAGCCTACCCAATTCACCTGTACCGCATGTCTTTGGACTGTGGGGGAAACCGGAACACCCAGAGGAAACCCACGCGAATGCAAAGAGCACATGCAAACTCCACACAGAAATGCCAACTGACCCAGCTGAGGCTCGAACCAGTGACCTTCTTGCTGTGAGATGACTGCACTACCTACTGCACCACTGTATTGCAGCCTTTTTTCATAGTTTAGCATAAATATTTGAATCAGACTAAACCACTAGCATGTCTCTCAAAAATGACTAAAGAGTTTTGATAAATTTGCTCTCCATTGCTTTAATCTTCTGTGGTTACATCATGTATAAGATTACGCAAATTGAAAAGTTTCTAGGCCAGTATGGCTAGTAACTTTAGTTTTATTCTGATGTACCATGGCTGCAGTAGGTGCAATTTTTTTGGTTGGTACAGTGTTAGTGTACAGTGTAACTACAGAAGACTCAAGCTTTGAATAGGAAAAATATTGAAACCAGCACCTTTAATGTATCGGTACCGGTATCAACGTTTTTTGAACAATAACCAGCTCTACCCACCTTAAATTAGGCTGAATTAATAAAAAAAATGGTCATTGTTTAACTCCAGGGGAGTTGAAAATTAGGTTATTTTTTTTAGCAACAGTGCTAACCTCTGGGATGTCGTGCTGCCCTATAAAGGTTCTTCAAATTCTTCAAAGCGAAGATAACTGAAGTAAGAAACTCTGGTTATTAATAGTGATTTAGGAATCATCTGATTGGTGAATCGTGTGGGGGGACAAACCATTATAAATCATAAGCACATGGTCCTCTTGAAATTAGTTTATAAATAAACTTCACTTAATACTGCTTTTCAGCCAGTTTCTCAGCCACCAGTTTCTGGTGCCAAATCTGGAGCACTGAGCTGGTTCAATTTGGTTCCAATCTCTTTTAGTGGAAATATGGGTCAATTCTTGTGCAACCATCCAGCCAAGCACTGGCTCCAGCTTCAGAACCAGATCTGGTTAAAAAAAGCATTAAATGTGCCTCTGTTTCTTAGAAAATGTCTTACCATTTTCAAGTTGCAAAGAATCAATGTCCACATTCAGAGTAGCGTTTCTGATAAAGTTATCCTTGTGAAGGGCTTCGGAGATGTAGTTTCGGAAGTCAGTGATGGTGTAGACCACAGTGGGCAGCTCCTCAGGATCTGTGAAGGAGTTCTCAACCATGTTGGAATGCAGGTTTATGTAATCCATGGTCTCATTACTTACTCCTGACCCATCACCCTCAAGAACAACAGCATAGTGCACCACCACTGCCAGACCTCTGAGGAATAAAAAGAAAACACCTGTGGTCAAAAAAACAACATAGTGTACAGGCAGTCATGGCCTAATAGTTAGAGAGTTGAACTTGTGATACAAAGGTAGCATGTCCTGGCACAGGCAGGGATTGTAGGTGGGATGAGTGAATAACCAGCACTCTCTTCCACCCTCAATGGTGGCTGAGGTGGGTCCCATGAGCAAGGCACAGAATCCCCAACTGCTCCCCAGGCAGCTCACTGCTATGGGTAATGTCATGGGTGTTCATGGGTAATGTCATGTAAGTTGCAATGAATAAAAGTGTCTGCTAAATTTTTAGCTGTAAATTTAAATGTAAATATGCATTATCAAACTGGCCATAAACTTGCCTCTAGACTTATTATTCATTAAATGTATAGTAGAGCTTTATAGTTGTTCAATTACGTTTGTTAAATTTAAATCAGTTGTACAATGTCCAATTGCAAATATTAAAACTGGTGGAGCTCATCAGATAGCTGGTTTAACTAGCTTAAAAATCTCTCTTCAACCATTAAATAGAACATCCTAGCCAACACAAAACTTTATCCAGGTTTATAGAAGGTTAAGCTATTGCTTTGTCATAGCATGATGGCTAAAATAAAATTCCAGGCTATTATCAAGTCAGCAGCCAAACGTGCCACAGAATAGTCAGCAGCCAGCTGCAGGTTACTGGGGGAAATAAAAAAGAACTGGGAGTGAGAACTGACCTAGATTTTTTTCGCTACATATTTTCTTTTCCTACGAGGGTCAGAAAACCTGGTGACTTTATGACCAGATCCATTTTCTCCTTATGAAAGTTAAAATCTCCACCAGGATTCAATTTCTTGAAACTCTAGAAATGCTAATTGGCTTTATATGGCTTTAGGTGACAACCTCTCTATTCTCATATGCTTCAACAAGCCTCTTTGATTTAAACAAGGCCTTGTTGATAAACCTAAAAGAGTCCTTGCACTGATGACACTTGAGATCAGAATATTTAGCATTAATCCCATCATGCTTGGCATGCATTTAGCACAGCAGCTAATCCCACTTACTGTAAGGTGGTGACTAGCCAAGCAAAATAGCCAACTGACACACACACATTTGATGTTACACCTGAATGAGTATGACTATCTATTCAGTCGATTGATTTTGCAAAGCTAACGAGGCTGCATGCACATGACCCTACCAAGACAACAGTGTGAAATTGATTTTAGAGCAACGCTCTATAAAACACTACATATGGTGGGTGGAAAATTCAGACAGACGAATTTCTCATTAGATGTTTTGGAGGAGACATGGATCACGCAGCTGTGTGATATGGCAGGGTGAAGAAATGGATGTATCAGGTCTGGGTGAAACATTGCAAAGATATTAGTAGTGATAGCCCAAATTACATTTATATCTGTTTTTATCATCTGGAGATGTGATTAATTGTGATTTAATGTTGATTTAAATGAAATGTAGAATGCTTACCCTTCAATGTCCTTCTGTGGCCTGGAATATATTAAGAAAAAAGACAGATGTAAGGAAATAAATGTATATTGTTTGCTTTATTTATAACCAGAATGTGTTATTTAAAGTTTTGTTTTATCATACCTGAATTCAAGAACATATATTTTCTTGAAACCTGGAAGCCTTTCGAAAACTTCTTCAATCTACAACAAAATAAAAAAATATGATATAAAAGTACAATACAGAATACAATATATACCCTGATGGCCATGATATTATAGATTCCAGGCATTAATTCATTCATTCATTTTCTTTTTGCCTTTATTAATCTGGGGTCGCCACAGCGGAATAAACCACCAGCATATGTTTTACGCAGTGGATGCCCTTCCAGCTGCAATCCGCCACTGGGAAACACCCATACACACTCATTCACACACATACACTATGGTCAATTTTAGCTTACCCAATTCACCTACACTGCATGTGTTTGAACTTGTGGGGGAAACTGGAGCACCCGGAAAAAACCCACGCGAACACAGAGAGAACATGCTAACTCCACACAGACTCAAACGCCAACAGACCTTGCCAAGGCTCAAACAAGCAACCTTTTTGCTGTGAGGTGATTGTGCTACCCAATGCGCCATGACCCCCAGATTCCAATCATTAAAATAGCTTAATGCGTAGATGCAACTCACCTTTTCAACAAAAAGTGTAGACAGATGTTGATAGTAGTTACTTGATGGATCCCTCAGAGCATCGTCATAGCTTTCCCCTCTTAGCTTAATACTTAGCTCCAAAATATGATCGCCGACAGGGCGTACTGGTCGAACCACAATATCATCAATTTCATTTCCCATCTACAGTATATACAGGAAAAAAAATAGAAAATGTTTTAGAAGAAATCATAATAAATAATTTTTATAATTAATTTATAACTAGAAACGGAATGTGCTCACCACATTGTTTTCTTCTAAAATATCATTAGAAATGTCTTGTTGTAATGTGGTTGAAGAAGTCTTTTGAATAGGAGTTGTCAAGTCATTCAGCGCAACTGTGAAATCCTCCACTTTCAAGACAGGAGTTGGGATATCATTTTCTGAGTGTTCTGTTTGAACCACTTGTATGTCAGGAGTTTCAGGTACTATTTCAACCCTCTCTGTATCTTCAAGCTTTAACAAAGGTGTCTGAGTTGTGACATCAGGTGTATCTGACTTGGTTACAGTTGTCTTCAGTATAACTTCAGGTGCTTTAGATATAACATTTGTTGTTGTTTTGACATCAGCTTCTGTTGCAACCTTAGGTGTCTCTGTTGTGACTTCTGGTGTCTCGGGTAAGGAATCTCCTCTGGTCTCACGTACATCATCTGTGATCTCTATCACAACCTTATGTGTGACCTCTGGAATATTTAATGGTTCTGTAACTTCATGCATGTCTTTATGTATGGTAGTTGTCAGTATGTCTTTTTCAGAATTAGTAACACTAAGATCTGGTGTTGTGTCTTCAAAAATGTTTGTTTCCTTAGCATCATCATTTTTAGGTGATACATTTACATTATCTTCTATGCGATCGGTTACAGGCACTACAATGTCAGTTTCAGAAGTACCAATGTCATCAGTTGTGGCTTCACCTGTGATCTTAATAGTTTCAGTGGACTTCTCTTTACCTGAAATACTTTCAGTACTTTCCACATATGATTCCTCTAAAATAGTGGCTTCAGTTACACCCCATGATACAGCAAAAGGTTCATTTGTTAGTCCTACAGAATCTTCAAGTGTGTTTTCAAGAATTGTTACTTTGTCTGTGCCTAAATCTTCGAATCCAACCTCAGTAAGTTCAGCTGCCTCTGTCGTAGTCACGACAGGTTTCACAATGCCAGTTTTGTCTACAATTATAGATGTGTCTTTCACAGTAAACACAGATTCAGTGGCTGTTGTAGTTTCCACAATCATTTTGGGTGTCACTCCAGCTGGTACTTCAGCAACTTCTGGGATCTCTGTTATTATGTACCCTTCTTTGCCCAAATGATTGTCTTCAGCATCAGGTGTGACATTTATTGGCTCTTGGGTTTCCCTCCACATTCCATGAGTACTCTCTGTTATGGTACCTGGTAATTCTGCTCCTGTTGTCACCTGTGTAATTTTGCTCTCTTTTGTGTGGGGTGTATGTTCTTCCTCATCTTTATCAAGTGATGTAACAACTGCCCCCCCTGTTAACACATGTAGGTTTTCCTTAGTAGTGTCAGTTGACGTATATGCGGGAATAGTTGGTGACACCAGTTCTGGCACAGTAGACACATATACAATTTTAGCAACATCCTTGTCTGTCTGATCCTTTGGCAACTCTTCTGTGGCAGACAAAACTTCTGCTAGTTTTGTAGGAGTTGGCAGCTTTGATTCCTCTGGTAAGAGATTCTGATCGGGGGATATTTCTGTAGGTGAGACTTTGGGAGGTTTATGAGTGGACATCACTGTAGCTGCTAAAACATCATCAACATCCACATGCTGAATGGTAATAGGTGCAGATTTAACAGGATTTTTAGTAATGCCCTCGGTTTCTGGGATAAGTATTGTAATGGAATCTCTAGTGACTATTTCAGGAGTGTTGGTACTTACTCCTGTCAGGTCCTCAGGAGTTGTGGAAAGATCGGCCTCAATTTTTGTAGAGTTTGAGCTAACTGCAGTTCTGCCAGTGGATTTCAACGTTTCCTCTGACACAATGTCAGATTCTACATACTGAACTGCATCAGTTGTTTGGGGACCTTCAGTAGTAGTCTGACCAATATTCAATTTAGATACTGAATTATGTTCTTTTGTAGAAGATTCATTAATTACTCCCGAAGAAGTATCAATTCCTTGAGGAATCCCATAATCATATTTTGCTAAAGAAGAATCTTCAAGATTTCTGTTAGTGGTTGTTATTGTCGACTCTGTGACAATTTCAGACTCTCCATGTGAAATTGTGGCATATGCCGTCTTAATAGGAACATTGGTCATATCCTGTTCAGTAGATGAACTTGTGACTAGTGAGTCCTCAAAGGATGTTGGTATAACACGTTCATATTTTGCTGAAGTAGAATATGGAGTTCTGTCAGTTGTCATTAATGTAGTATTTGTGTCCAACACTTCATGCTTAATTGTAACATGTGTTGTTTTAACAGGACTGTGAATAACATCCTGCCCAGCCACCTGTTCTAATTCTGAATGAAGATCTTCTTTGAGTTCACTTGTGGTCACTCTAGGAGTATTGGTGCTTATTCCCAATGAATCTACAAAGTTAGTGGGATTATCATGCTCAGATTTTTTTGAAGTAGAAACTTCTGGAGTTTTGTCAGTGGTTAATAATGTAGATTTTGAGACAATGTCAAGTTCCTTTTGAATAGTAACAGCTACTGTTTTAACTGTACCATCAGAAAAACCTTGTCCTATTTCTGAATACATTTGTTCAGAAAATTCAGTTGTTAGTACTATAGGAGTGTTTATTACTAACGAGTCCTTAAAGGTCGTGGGAAACTCATAATCATATTTCCTTGAAGTAGAGTCCTCCGAAGTCCTCTCAGTAATCAATAATTTAGATTCTGAGACTACAACAACCTCTTCATGTTTAATGGTAATGGTATCCAATGCTTTAACAGGACTCTCAGAAGTAGTACCCAATATGACCTCAGGTTCAGTTTCAGAAATAGGTTTTACTGTGTCCTTAAAGGCTGTGACAAGATCAGGCTTTGGGGTAATTCCAGGTGTCACTTGAAGCCTTGTAGGCAAAGTTGTGATTACGATATCATCTGCAAAGGTCTGCGGTGTGACAACTTGTGAACCTGGCACTGCCTCAGGAATCAAAATACCAACTAGATGAAAGCAAAAAAAAGAAAAAAGTGTACTTCATTATCATTATTTTTTAATGTAAATTGCATCATTTAATTGGGTTTCCTTAATTATTCTCGTGATGTAAGGGCCAAACTCTGTATAATCTACTGTTGTGACTAAGACCATGCACAAATAATTAATTACACTTGATTAAATGATGTAACTTTGTCTGAGGATCTTGACACCTCTACTTTATTACAAGCCACAGAGTACCTAACAAGGATTAAAGTCTATTCTGAGAGCAGTGTATATCTTGAGCCAGAAAGCACTAGATCTGTGTTGATATGACTGCACCAATAAATATTGAATCAGAGCATAACTTAAATCAAAAGACCGCAAAATCAAGTCAACATAAAATTTCCTGGACATTAGCTAAAAATGTATAAACACAGGGAATGTGAACTCAGATCCACTGTTTAAGAAGTATATTGTTTCAAACAATGTAGTAAACTACACTGACCTTGTTCAGCTTTTGCTAGTGTTGGCGAAGTAGTCGTCGTCTGATGCCTGTGAAGGAAAAGATAATTATAAATGCGTTTGAAGCACAAGAACATACCCTAAACCAACAAAATATAAATTTGCTCTTCAGGAAAAAAATAGAAACATAAAGCGTGCTAAGTATTTAAAACTGTAGAAAAAGGACTAGCTCTAAGAGGGACTAAAAGTATTATTAAAATCTGTATCCAGTTTTTACTATTAATGGGTGGTTTGTCTACAAAGTACTAGTGTGAGCTAAGAGTTAGCCATTGGGCTCAAGAAAGAATTGATGTTTTAGATAATTTATAAAGTGTTAGCATTAGCTCCACACCAGTGATTTGCAGATTAATTTACATATAGGCTGCAAAGCAGTACTACTTTATTTAGCCCATAATCCCTACCTGCATTCAGGTTGCCATGGGCTGGTGGGCGCACTACCATAAGACAAATATAGGAATTATGTGGTTACACATTTACTTTATAAACAGTGGAATGTGATGCAGGTTCTTATTTGTTGTGGGTGCTTTGTGTGAGAAATTGAACTCGTGAACATGAACTTGTGTGTGAAGAAATTCAAATCAGTTTAAAGCTTGCCCTACCCCATACCTGCCAACACTCCTGTTTTTCCTGGGAGTCTCCCGTATTTTACACCCATCTCCCGCCACCATCCTGTTTTGTTAATTATTCTGGAAAACTCCCACAATTCCATCCAATTCACCCAACCCCCCACCAATCTCTTTTGGAACTTTATTACTCGGATAACCCCCCATCCCCCAACAGTTTATCAGCATTGTGCAAAATTCTTACCTTGTTGATGTTATTGTGGATGATGCTACCCTCTGCAAAATACAATAAGAGTAAGTTTGTTTCTTTTTTTAGGTGAATATAACAATTTTAGTAATCTTTGAAGTAGTAAGAATACTTACACTTGAAATCAAAGCAAGGTGCTCAGCTGACTGACTAAAGCTTCGGCCGATGTCAAACACGCTAATGCTACCATTTTGACATTTTTTCATCCAGATCTGGTACTCTTCTTTCTCAGGTAAGCGATCCCAGAAGATTTTATAAGCCTCCCAAATTGTCTCCTGGCACACTGAGGTACACAAATGCATAAATATCTACTTATAGGCCTACTCATGCAATGTAAACTTACACACATACTGTAGGTACACATAGGTAAAAACAGAAACAGATTGCATACAATACGTTGATGAAGTTCATGTCATTTGTATTAGTGAATCACCAATTACCTTTAGCAACATGCTGACTGGACTAACTGGACATGCCCAGGCTCATTATGAAAATGTACTGCTAAATATATTTCTGGAGAGCGCAAATACATCCCAGCAGGTGTTTTTTTGCAGCTTTTGTTTTTGCGAATCCACCAGAGGCTGCTGTGTATGCTTTTTGAGATGTCAAATTTCTCTCTCGAGTGCCATTTGCGCCAACTGTTCATGCATTAATCCACCAGAGGCCACTGTCGACTGACTGACCATTTGACTAACCCACCCCTCTCCTTCCTATACCTAACCGATAGTGTTTTCAAAAGCACAGATTGACGCGCCCACCCACTTCCCTAAATCCAACCAACAGTTTAACAAAGCAATCCAAAAAAAGAAAAGCCCTCGCCTGAGTTTTACCACATTTTCAGATTTTACCACATTCTCACCCTCTTGTTTACGTGTTTATAAATTTTTGGCTTCTGATTTCGTCTTACCCGCTTTCTAGAATGGTTCTTTGCCGGACTTGAACTATGTCATTGTATTCATCTCTTCTCTGCGTCTTAAGTTCACCGACAAACATGGCGAGCTACTAGACAAACTGGTAACAGTAGAAAATCCGTCTATATGGAGGTAAGCATTTAGCTGGTAAGCATGAAAAGGAACAGCGTTATACCGTCCCATAGTATTCATTTTAAAGATGAAATGCAGCCATACGTATGTCTGGCTACATAATTCATGATCTCCAGAAATGTATATAGGGCTACGTTTTCAGAATGAGCCTATATGTTGCAACTGTGAATTGTATCTTAGGAACACTAGTAAACACTAGTATAGTTTTAATTTTATTTATATTACTGCAGCCAGTTTAGACAGCAACTATTCAAGCAGTTTGCTAGGTTTTGGAAAAGATCTTGTGAGAGAAACTATAAACAATAGAGAAGCAAAAATCTGCCAAAACACCAGCTATGAACTCTGTTGTAGTGGAAACTGAAATTGCTCCTTAAAGGAAACTCCTTTAATTTAAAAGACATAAATTATTTATTTTTTTATTTTTAAATTAAGTAAAGAAACAGCAATACCTAGCATAATGGAAACATCCCTCTTATCCTTTAGCCACACATGTCAGTTGTTCCAGACAAACGTAATTTTTTTATTTCTCAGATTGTGAACCAAAATTGCTATTTTGGTATCTGCGTATTTTCTTAATGTACCCTGCAAGTGGAAAATTAAATGCACAGATGGGGGACGTTAACCCTGGCTAAACATTTTGATATGTTCCACCTACATCTGCCCGCCATGCTGACTCTGTATGACAAATACCAGAACTCAAGTGCGAATGAGGGCAGAGGTCACCAGTTTTCCTGGCAGAGCCAAGGATCTGATCACTGTCTGCTGTGATTTAGTAGCAATGGGTTCTTCAGGAGAGCAAGAACAAGAAATGGGGAATTCTAGCCTTTTCCTACTGGAATGATACATGAAAGTACTGACAGCCAAATGATCATTATCAGCATCAAAGAAAATTGGTTCACCCAAAAATCTAAATTGTGCCATTATTTACTCAACTTATTTGACTTCGGCTTTTCCATGAAACTCTAAAGATGTTATTGAACTCAATATCTTGCTGTACAGTAGTTCTTCATGCAATCAAAGGGAAAACTTTAAAATTTGTCCTTGTATTTGTCACCTTTGAACTATAAGGTTCTATCTGACATTTTTGTCAAAATTGAGTTATTGACATATTCTTATTAAATGACAACATATTTACATTATGGGGTGTTTTTTATAAGTTGTTTACATTTTAGGACTTTTTATTAAAAAAAATGTTACACACATACTGTTTGCTATGGAATGCAAAAACTTTGAAGCTTAATATCTCAAAATAATTCCAAGGTGACAAATTGTTACGCAATGGAGACACCAAATTTTTTAAATCCTTAATAAACATTCACAGGTTGTCTTAGACTTTTGGACCCCCGCAGTACATGCAGTTAAGCATCAGACCACCAACTAATAATGTGCGTGGCTAAATGTAATCAACTTTTCTTTGACACACTGCAAGAATAACCTTTACATAAAATGGCAACACTTGGTTTTCGTGTTGTCGTAATTAGATTCACTAGGGTCATCTGGGTCTTATTACCTCAAACAGCGAGAGACATTATTCTCAGCGGTGGTCTCCAGTAGGGCTTAATACTTTGATTGCATCTAACTTCACAGGCTAATATGTGATCTTTAGAAAGAGCATGATGTGGAAAAGTGTCTCTGAATATTTTTGTACGATTATATGCAAGACCGAGACAAAGAGACAGTGTGTTTCTGACGTTTTGAATCCAGTGCGGTTACTTGGACATTAATGGAATCGGTCAAGTTGGCTTAGTTTATTATTATTGATGAAAAGTGGAGCTGCATGAGCTCATTTTTCATGCATAATGATCTCAAAGAGCATTTGTTTACACTATGGAAGTCATCTCCAACGTACTGTACGATTCTTGGCAACTATCCCAGAATCTCTCAAAATTTGAGTAAAAAGAAATGTCTGGATCTTACCTCGCAGGTGAAAGTAGTTGAGATGATTCTGCACTGCCTGTTGCACCGTCTCATGTGAGCACAGTTTAACTCCATTGGGGAACAGGAGGTCCCTTTTATGTCTAGATAGAGCTGTTTTCCCTTCAGCAGACATGTAATTCAAAGTTTTACCTTTGTCCAACAACAATAAGTGATTCAAAACTTCATTAGTGTCCAAAAGCATTGTATTTCCATTTGCCAAGTAATCCTCATGAGTTCCAGTATCTGATAAAGAAGAAAGACCACATGCTCACAAATTTGCAGGGTTAAAAAAATCTATGAATAAAGTCCTAGAGTAGAGTAGATACGTACCTGCATCTATAGAAAAGTATCCAGTCAACAACAATAGTGTCAAACCCCACCAAATGCATTTAAAAGGTAAATCAGGCATATTGATTCCTTGTCCCGTGGCAAACTTCAGAGAAAATTAAAAGTCAATTTTTGGTTACCCACAATTGTAATTCAGGCATCCCTCCCTGCAGCCCCCCAAAAAGTTGCATATAGTTGAATTAATTGGTTTGCATTGTCAGTTCATCCTTTCCTTGTCACAGAGGGTTGCAATCACGTAGCTTTGAGCTGACGTCTCCCCATGCGGCTTAGCAGATGGCTCTTTGGAAGATTTTTCTTGCCCACTAATCCTATTTGTTAATTCTTCTGAGGAAGCTTGTCGAGAAGTCAGTGATACTCCACCATTGCCCACCTGTAAGATCCGCCTGGATTTTGAGATGTTCAAATTCCAGGATAGCTTGAATCCCGTAATTTGCAGTCTGATCCGTTGATGAGTTCAATTATGAGAGGAGCTCCACTGTGTGTAATGGGATTTCAATCCAGGGAGGTTTCCAATGATACCATTGTTCATGGTTGTGCTCAATCTAATGTGAAACTGCAATAAACGATTTGGTTGTGTTTGACTACAAGTGACATTTTCCTTTGGGTCATTTAGGTCATTCCTTTGTCTACATGTGCTGTGATCATACAGATGACAGTTACTTCCTCGTTATTGGGTTTTGAACGTATTGCATCATGGCAGGGATAGTATGAACAGATGGCTCTGGCATGGCAAACCAATATTAGGTTTCCTAAGGTATCAATGGTTCAACCTATATTGGAGAAACTCTAATGGCTGTAATGCAGTTGGAATACTAGGTCTGTTTAAAGTAAGTTTTAAAGTAAACAGAGATACTTACTTACTCCCAGGGCCATTTATATCGAAGTTGATATTTAGCCACACCATATATTGGTGTTTTGTAACATCTAGTTTTTATGAGGTGGGTTGTTAGCCCAGCGCTCAACCCCCAACCTGGAGGACCAGAACATACACAGACAATTTAGCTTACCCAACTCACCTACATGTCTTTGAACTGTGGGGGAAACGGGAGCACCCAAAAGGAAACCAAAATGGGCTATATTGATACCTTAAAGAGATTTATAACACGGCTCTCTGGAATACGTGATTCTGATAGGTAAATCACAACATTTCAAGGTATGTTATTCTCAAATAACAACTGGTAATAGTGATAACAGGCTCATCTGGGTATTTTTGATTATCTTATTTATCTGAACATATTCAAATATATTTACCTGCCAGTCTGCAGTTCCTTGTGACAGAATAACACAAGTAGGTTAGTGTAGACTGCATCTAGGCATTTTTCTTTCTACAAGCTTTACATTTAATTAAAAAGTTAGTTAAGTATTACAGCTCAGATCAATGTTTTGTGCCTGATTATTTACTTATGTGGCAAGTAACTATGCAATAAACTAGATAAGTTAAATGTAGTCAGTTATTATTATAAGTAAGCACAATGCTTAGCTTCACATTGGCCTGCTGACAAACCTCCCATGCTATATTTTGTGAGAACAACTTCCGCATTGAACATTATCCCTTACATCAGGGGTGTCCAAACCCAGTCATTTAGAGCCAGTGTCCTTAAGAGTATAGCTCCAATTTGCTTCAACACACCTGCCAGGAAGTTTCTAGTATGTCAAGTAAGAGCCTGATTAGCTGGTTCAGCACACTGGCTATCCAGGACCGAGTTTGGACACCCCTGCTTTACATATTAGATACTTAAAAGTGTAGTAGTGACAGTTTGCATACGTTTATTTCTGAGAGTAAAGGTACTTTATTAGGTACACCATGCGAGAACCAGGTTGGACCTGGTTTGCCTTCAGAACTGCCTTAATTATTTGTAGCAGAAATTCATTAAGCTGTTGGAATCATTCCTCAAAGACCTTGGTGCATATTAACATGATTTGTTGCAAATAAATAGTAGGTCTCATGTTACAGCAAATCCCAAAGGTGCTTTAGTGATTTGAGATCTCATGTCTATTTAACATATTTGAGTTTGGTGAACTCACTGTCATATTCAAGAAATCAGTTTGTGATGATGTGACATGGTGTCCTATAATTCCGTAAGTTGCTGTCACAAGATTGGTAAACTGTGGTCATGAATGGATGTACATGGTGTACAATGCTTAGGTGCTGTAGGTTTTGGCATATAACTGCTGAAGTTTGTTAAGATAATACTATTACATCATCATCTGGCTGAACCACTAGCACAAGGCGAAGCCATGATTTCTTGTTTACACCAATCTTGACCCTTCCATCTAAATGGCGCAGCAGAAATTGAGAATCAATAAAGCAGGCAACCTTTATCCAGTCTTCTATTGTCCAATTTTGTTGGGTTTTTGTAAATTATAGGTCTATAAAATTAAAATTTTAGATGTATTGTGTGTTCAGAAACGCTGTTCTATATATTTTGGTTGTATTGAGTGTTTAGTTGAGTAACTAAAAAAGACTAATTTTACAGCTTCCCTGAGAGTTAAACAATTGAGTTTTACTATTTGTTTTAATCCATTTAGCGACTCTCCCAGTCTGGTAGAACAAGAGTCAAGTTTTAAATACTCTTTAAAAACTCTTTGGTCATTTTTTAACTTGACATAGATCATTGATCTAATTCAATGATCTATGCCAAGCTAAGCTATAAGTGCTCCAGCCAGACCCGGAGATTGGCTAAATGGAGCTAAAAGTTGGTAAAAGCTCAACTGTTCAACTCTAGAGGGAGTTGTAAAATGAGTTCCTACGGGAGAATGGCTTTATTTTTAACCTTTTGTACCTATATAGATGGCTGTGCAAAAAAATGCTAGTAGATCCAAAAGCAGCCTAATCTGAAACCAGCAACCATACCACATTCAAAGTTACTTAAATCACTTTCTTTTTCATTCTGCTTGATTTAAACAACAACAGATCTCCTTTACCACTTTTAGACGTCTAAACACAGAGTGTCTGCCAGGTGATTGGCTGATTAGATATTTACGCTAATGGCCAGTTGAACAGATAGATAGATTTCTCTCCAGCACGGAGAACGTGTTGACTGACAGATGGTCCCATCACTGACCTGACAGACTCAGGCTTAAATCCGCAGTGTTTGATGGTAAAGGGTGTTTGACGGACAGCGGGCGGTCAGTGTGACAGACCAAATCCTGCTTGACATCTGTCATTTCTGTAGTGTTGCCTCTCTCTTTTACTACCTCTGCTATAAATGCTTTCACTGCATTTCATTATTTGATTGAACTCAGTTATCCTGACCAGCAGAGGAGTAATTCCTGGAACAGACCTGTTCACCAGTCGCAGGTCTCCTTCTCACAACAGGAAGTTGTGTAAGCGTTTAGGTAACATTTGGCTTGACGTGTGCTTGGTTGGCACCGTGAACTGAGAAAGAATATAAAGAGAAGGAAAGGCAAGAGCGGGCTAGTATAGTTTAGTATTTTAATATTAGTTTTTGTTTCAATATTATCATAAAATTTACTGTTCATTTCAGTTTAATTTTAATTCGTTTCAGTAATGTTTTACTTTAGTTTTAACTTTGTAAACACATTTCTGTTTAATTTTATTATTTAAGTTTTAGTAAATCTAGTTTTGCAGATTTCAGGTTAGGAAAACGTCCAGTGAAAACTAGTATTTGCTACCCAGGCTCATTCTGATTACATACACCTATGTACAATTCTGGAGAAAGAAAAATACATCTAAGGAGCTAAGTTTTTTTTTCTTTACAGTTTCTTTTCAGTTTCCACCAGAGGTCGCTGTAAAGGCTTTCTCAGATCTCAAATTTTGTTCTCAAGTGTCATTCCCGCCTACTGTTCCCAAGTAATCCCACCAAAGGCCACTGTTGACTGACTGACTGACTAACCGTCCGATCTTCGTTGTCGCGGTGAACTTTGATCTGCATCTCAAGTCCACCAATGTACATGTCGAACTACCAGACAAACTGGTAACAGCAGAAAAACTGTTTATACAGAAGTAAGCAGTCAGCTGGTAAATGTGAAAAGAAACAGCCTCATAGCGCCCTCTATCGTTCGTTTTAAAGATGAAATGCAGCCATACGTTGCTCTGGCTATGTAATTCACAATCTCCAGAAATGTATATACACTGGGGCTACATTTTCAGAATGAGCTTATGTTGAGTGTTTGTCTGTAAAAGCGCCATGTACAGGTAATTCTCTAAACAGCCACTCGTCAGATTATCATAAATTCTGAAAACCATAATTATTATTTCATTTCAGTTAATTTTTTCAATGACTGTTAGTTTTATCTAGTTTTAGTTTCTAATTTATTGCGAATTTGAATTTCATTTTAGTTAACGAAAGTAATGTTTGACCAATATTTTTTGTTTTAGTGTTCGTTTACTCAAATAACCTTGGCTCCGACACTTTGACCCATTGAATTCGGAATCTATTAATAAAACCTTGTTTTTGACTCTGTCTGCCTTCCAAGTGCAAGGGACAAAGTTAGCGGCAGACGGTGACGGTGACATTTCGAAAAGGTTTAATCGTTAGACGTTAGTTATTGGATGAAATGGTAAGTAGCTGGATGTTCGCCCGGCTGCAATCTGGGCGGCTGTCCAGAGAGTCAGATAAGACTTTAATCTTCACAGTCACTTCCATTCACATTTACTGTGCCGACTTGATATGATTTAGAAGAAAGCCACTTACAGTTCATATGCAGTGACTATGACACATGCATAAAATGTAATACAATAAAGTTTATTAAACAAATTCACTTATTTTTATTATGTTTGTACTACTGAAGAATATTTAGATGGACTTTAATAAATGTGTAGTTGTAATATCATTAATAATAAATATAATAATAATAATAACAACAATAATAAAAATAATAATTATAAAAATTAATAATAATAATAATATTTATTATTATTATTATTATTATTATTATTATTATCCCAGGTTATTATTTCCCAGTAATGGGTTGCAGCGTGAAGGAATATAAAGGAATAAATGAATGAATGACTTATTATTATCAGCAGCATCATTTCATCATCATTATCGCACATGAATTAATAACTTTATTATTAACTTAATTACTAATTCTGAACCATGTGAATATTTTTAATAACTGCAATAGTAGCACAAATATTTATATTAAACAAAATTTTTTATTGTTGCTTTTGTTACTTTTATTACTACATAATGAATGAATAGTGTATTTATTATCAATGTTATTATTATTATTATTATTAGAATGACTATTTTTAAATAACTTCAATTGTCTGGTAGTTTGCTCATTGTCTGCTCAAATAATTATAATAACTAAATTATTACTAATT